TGCAATATAACAAAGAGTGAAAAATTGAAGGGGGTCTGAATACTTTCCGTACCCACTGTATATATATATATACACAGTATATACAATGATATTTGCTTAAAAAAAAAAAAGCTTAAAATAATACATGCTATTTGAAACCAGGAAAGATAATGCACAAACAACTGCTGAAGGACTCAAGTCTTTCAAAATGTGTGCAATCAGATTAATGGTAAATAAATGCATACATACCTATTGTAGAAATCATCCCTGTAGTAATCATAATCAAATTCATAACCACTGAAAAAGACAAAACAAAGGCACAGTGTAAAGTGCAATTTGCTATGTCAGGATGTGATGGAGGACAAATTAGCCCTTTGATTTAGACTTATATTTACAGCTCAATTGATCTGACAGGAAGATTTTACACTTTGAACACTGATCAATTTTTACCTGAGATTTAAATGTGTATAGAAACTAATCAAACATGTGCGACTCAAATAATCTGACAACAATCCCATCCATCAATGCGTTATTTCAACATCCTGCTGACAGACAAATCAATAATATCTTCAGCCTGCAGACAGCATGCAGAGCTCCCATAAACACAGTTTCTCGTCAGTTACAGCAGCAATCAAGCAAACGGCTTCGTTTATTAATTACAGTGAGAAATAGGGTTGTGCCGTTAGACGATAGTATCGTGTATCGACGAACTAATTAATATTAGGGCTTATTGGTTGCATTATTGATTTATTTTTCCACGTTTTTACAGTATTGCGCGTTTTAACCAATCACACACGAATGTGCTGAGCTTATGAATGCAATGGGCAATCAGAGGCGTTCAGATGAGTCATCACTGGAACAGCATAGTATCGTGTATCGACGAACTAATTAATATTAGGGCTTATTGGTTGCATTATTGATTTATTTTTCCACGTTTTTACAGTATTGCGCGTTTTAACCAATCACACACGAATATGCTGAGCTTACGAATGCAATGGCCAATCAGAGGCGTTCAGATGAGTCATCACTGGAACAGCGGAGTTCTGTTTTCAGCGCGCGCTGACTGAATGCTGACTCACAAATTCTCTCATTATAAACAACAAAGTGCAGATCTACGTGCGATGTAAGTATAAGAGATTTATTCATCATATAGTGTAGATTCACTGAGTTTAACGGGAATGTTTTTAAAGTGCCAGGCTGACGATAGGACGATATGAAAATTGAGCATATCGCCCAACACTAGTGAGAAACCTCCCAGAGTTAGACTTGGGCTTGTTTTAGGTCCTGACAGTGAGACAGACACTGTCCAGTTTGTGTGTGACCCCTACTTAGATTTCAACCAGTAAAATTTGAGTGATCCCTTTAGAGCACCAGCAGCACCAAACATCTCTTCAGAAGACTTATAATGTCAACTGACAAGGTAAGCAACAGGGATGCGTCTTCAGTCATTTTTATTTCATGTACAGTGGAGTGCAATAGAAAATGAATGAAAACGCTATTTAGAATTCTTTTAGAGCTTATATTTTCAGCTTGACAATTTGAGCCATAAGTTGAACTGAAAATGAATATGAAGCACTCTGTCTGTCTTTTGCTTTAAAAACAGCAGCACTGGAACCAACATGAATAAAATCTAATAATCAAGTTCTGTAGTATGATTTGAAACTGTTACGAAGAGCATCTTGTGCTTCAGAAAGTCAGAAAGGAGATCATATGAAAAGCGTATTTGATTAGCCAGAAATAGTGTTGAATCTTACATATTTGCTTTTTATGGCAATTTTTTTGTGCTATAGGCTGGCTGAGCATCCTGTCAGGTCAAACAGAAGATGGCATGCTCTCCAGTGTTATTTATTGTAAATCATTAAAATAACAACAAGCTGAGTCTCTCATGAGAATCACTGCACAGTGCACATGTTATCTATTCTTAGGCGTTTTATCCACCAAATTTCCAGGCATCTAAAATCACTTGCACCAATCACAATCGCAAGACAGCTCTATACCTGACATATCATGGGACTTTGAAGACTTGCAGATTTTGAATAGCCTCTCCCTGGTGGTTATTGCATGAATAAAATCTATGAATATTGTACATACGATGAATAAATTCATGAACCAACTTAGGCCTAAGTTTTCCCCTTCTCCCCATACTATCTTCTCAACATTCCCCACACATACACATTTATCCACATATACATCAATATCTGTCAAACCATACATTTAATAATACACATATACATCCATCTCTGTCCGATCATACACAGCCATTATACACATGTACATTCATTTCTGTCAAATCATACCTTACACCTGAGGCCTAAACCTGCCCCTAGTCTTCATCATCTTAGCTTACACACATAACCATTTAGCTCTCTTCCATCACACTCTGTTACATTACTCACAAATCAAAATAAACAAAAAATATTATTTCAGTTCATAAAATAAAATATAACGAATATACGTGTTGCCATATTAAAAAAATAAAATAAATCAGTAAATATTTATAATTAAATATAAAATATGAAAATGTATTTAATATATATTTTTTTTTTATTTGATAAAATTTATTACATATATTATAATTATAGGTTCAATACTCTAAGGTTTCATTTGTTTATTACTCTAAGTTTCCATCACACTCTGTTACATTACTCACAAATCAAAATAAACAAAAAATATTATTTCAGTTCATAAAATAAAATATAACGAATATACGTGTTGCCATATTAAAAAAATAAAATAAATCAGTAAATATGTATAATTAAATATAAAATATGAAAATGTATTTAATATATAATTTGTTTTTATTTGATAAAATTTATTACATATATTATAATTATAGGTTCAATACTCTAAGGTTTAATTTGTTTATTACTCTAAGTTAATGGTAATTTATAAATATATGATAGTTTATTTATGTTTTTCTATTTTACTTTTTAGAGGATAACATGCACTAATAATTAATTGTGTACAACAACATCAGGACAACAATTAGGGATAAGGTCAAACTTAATGCAGTTGTGTATTTTAATATATGTCGTGCATATTATGAATATCCTGTCAACTATAGAAACCTGTTTCGGGTCATCTAACTCATATTCCATTATGGGCATCTCCTCATTTCTTTGACCATTTCATTCCAAACTAATTAACATTCAAAGCTCTTCTTTGTTGGTTTGCTCCGGTTCTACTCTCCTAATTAAGCCTACCTCAGACAACGTAATGGATTGGTTTGAATTAGTTGATTTGAAATGCAAATCAAGACTCAAAAATATAATGAGACCAAGAAATAAAGAATTAAAAACCCAGAATTAGCTAAAGTAAAATACAATCATATAACACAAAAAAGAACCAAAAAAAAAAACAAAAAACAAAAAGCTCAAGTCCTCGGTTAGACACCATTTCAGGCTCACAAGTAATTAAATGATTTTATTATTATTTGCTAAGTGCAAATATAAGGGGGAAAAAGCCATTTCCGTTACATTTATGGACAAAAACAAACAGCGCTAATCCAGTAATTGTTTCACGGTCCAGTCACTATTTATTTAGCATTAGTTAGTATTTATTGTTTGTTACAAAAAGTTCTGAATCCCTACAAAAGCTTGTCAATTAAGGAGTAAATGCCTCATACCCTTTCAAACATTGATTTTTCACTCATTTTCTGCTTGGTTAGCTTTCACTGATGTGTCTGGAGAGCTTTTCGCTTCCTATAAGAGTTCAACCATCTAACCGAACCTGCGAGACACAACTACAACTTCAGCAACTGAACGAATGTGCTGATAATCGCAGGACTGTTCTGTAATCTAAACCTGATAATATGACAAATGTGCTGACGGCTTCACTCAGCCACACCAACCAGACTTTAATCCATTCTACCTTAGCTCTAACAAAAGTAAGAAGAGCGAAAGGATTTCATTTACACATGCAGTATTTTATCTGAAGTAAAATGCACAGTGCAGAATGAGCAAACATTTGTAGGCTATGTATTGTACACACATATTTAAGGACAGTGCCATGTTGTTCTATCTATAAAGCAGCATTTAATAGGAAACACTCACCTATAGACAGCAGTCAGGGGTCGTTTGGATCCTGCTTTAGGCCTGTAAGGCTTCGGCTCTCCGGCCATGTTAATATCTGCAGAAAAACAGAAGAATTCAGAATCAAACACCTGCAGTAATGAGTTCTCATTGCATACTGAGGTCGTCGGTTTTGGTTTTCAAACCACGGCCGGGCAAATTAATCCATGCAACTTCTCTCTGAATCAGCCTTTAACAACTTGAGCGTAGTGGGTAGAACAATGTGGTGCCTGTTTGATGTTCAGCAAATAATTTGGAGCCCTGGGATTGTAAAACACACACACACAAAAAAAACATCCAGTATTCTAAAAATACAGCAGAACTTTGGTTTCCCAAATATCTGTTCTCTAAAACTGATTTTGTGCAATCTACTTCTTGAATAACAACAGAATAAGACATCTATGAGAAATGCAGTCCATTACAAACACAATTCACATATAGCAGGCAAACAGAATTTTTTAGAACTAAACATTCTGAAAATTCATTGCATGCAAATTGCTGATAGTAGCAAACCTTTAATGGTGCAGTGCTAGGTTAGGTAATGTGGTGCAACTGTGTAGTGAATTTGTGTTATACTGTTTTAAATAATTCTAAATATTTTGCTTGAATAGCATGGGCTTTCTTCTATCTTGTAAAACAAATGGCACTAGTTTTGTAACTAATGCAATGACATTCATAGATTTTTAAAGGAATAGTTCACCCAAAAAGGACTGAATAAAGCAACATTATGGATTGAAGAAAACCAAAAACAATGGTTTGAATTTAAAAATGTCTTAATGATTGTTTCTTACAAACAAGCAGCTTTTCACTTCACAAGATTACTTGAGGATTATTGTGATGTTTTTATCAGCTGTTTGGACTCTCATTCTGACGGCACCCATTCACTGCAGAGGATCCATTGGTGAGCAAGTGATATAATGCTAAATTTCTACAAATCTGTTCTGATGAAGAAACAAGCTCATCTACATCTTGGATGGCTTGAGGGTGAGTACATTTCAGTACATTTTCATTTTTGGTGAACTATTGTTTTAAGTGTGGCTTACCTATTCAAATACATTTTGTGGTTTAATTTCAGTACATTTTGTGCACTGTTTATCCATTTTGTGCACTGTGTATATCTTTCAAAGAACTATAGATGAAAACCTGTACTAAAACAAATTAATTTCACTGCTGCAGCAAAAGAAATGGAAGGGATGAATAGGAAGATAAGGAATGCTGAAGCACTTGACCTTGGTACATCTATATATATATATATATATATTCAATTACATTTTTTTTTATCAAACCATCATCCTTGAGCGATAGCACAAAGTACAGAACATCTGTGAGACTTATCTCAACTATCTGACCCACACAACCCAGCACACCTGTCTGCAGCATTAATCACAAAAACACTCATTGCTGCAATTCAAGGGAATTCAGAGGGGAAACTCTGCCATAGAACAGCTTTAAGAAAAATGTGATATGGCTACAGTCACATTTTATACTGCAGCTCTGAAATCTCACACTGATAGATATGAACAGACTGTGCTTATAGTGGTAACAGTTGAGCTGTGAAAATTATGCATCACTTGCCCACCAATGGATCCTCTGCAGTGAATGGGTGCCGTCAGAATGAGAGTCCAAACAAATCCACACCACTCCAGTCCATCAATTGAAATCTTGTGAAGCGAAAAGCTGCGTGTTTGTAATAAAACAAATTCATCAAAGGGTGTAAACTTTAAACCATTGCCTCTGGCCAAAATACTAGACCATAATCCAATAATATCACTTCCTCTTTGTCCTCTCACATCAAAATCCACCAACATATATGCTTGGAAATGTTTTGGCCAGTTTTCGCTTGTAAACGGTGCTTGTGCATATAGCTCTCCTGATTCAGACGAGACATTTCACTGGAGAAAGCAATGTTATGGATAGAGGACTCAACTTGGAAGCAAGTAAAAAAAAATGTAATAAGGGATTTGTTTCTTACAAACACAGATTTTCACTTCACAAGACATTAATTGATGGTCTGGAGTGGTGTGGATTACTTGTGGATTATTGTGATGTTTTTATCAGCTGTTTGGACTCTCATTCTGACCACACCAATTCATTGCAGAGGATACATTGGTGAGCAAGTGATATAAAGCTAAATTTCTCCAAATCTGTTCCAATAAAGAAAAACTCATTTTTGGCTAAACTACTCCTTAACAAATACACTGCACATAAACAAGGATGTTTTGTCATGTTTACAAAGCTTCTTGCGACTGGTGTTACTGGATCAAAACAAGAGGATAAAATTTGGCAGAAAACATTAAACCTTTTCAGAAAGAATCTCCTGTTATTTATGCTGATCTGGGGTAAATAGTCAAGCACATCGGCTGACAAAATGACTCAGACATGGCCTAGCCAACTTCACTTCTCCAAACAGCATGCTTTATGAGAAATCAGGTTCTGATTCCCATTTAATAACGCATTTGTTTGCTTGCTTCAGATGTATGCGGTACCCGTGCAAGGGCATCTGTCCAATAAAGTAGAGAGATGCAAGAGAGTGACGTCTATTTTTCATTTTTCGCTGATTGATGGTAGGCACAGAGGGGATGTAGCTCTGGCCACGAGGGAAAATTTTCATTTATCTGCATCTGTTCGCCGGATTTCTAATGGTTGCCTGGAGACAGGCCGAGTAGAGAGGAGCTCTCCGTGGTTCTGAACCCTGCGCTGGATGAGGGGGGAGTGGATCTCTTTCACTGTTTGGATCGTAGCACCATGAAAGCTTTCCATTGAGACGGGCACTCACAAGGAGACATGTGCGGCATCTGAAACAAGCCCTATTCAAAACCAAGTCCTTATTCACAAACCTTTGTTATTTAACATAAGAAGCATTACAGTGGTTCCAAAAAGTATTCTGATACTTCAAAATGACACAAATGGCATGACATTCGATAAAGTATTCAAACTGAGTGTTATTTGTTTTAAAGAAAGGACAAGTTTAAGTTTAAGCTTAAGGACAGTTTAAGCATTTTGCAAAAATAAGCTTATTCAAAATGATAAAAAAAAGATATACTGTTCAAAATGAAGGCAAAAAGCATCTGGTTGTCAAATGTTAGTGGAACAAGTCCATAGATAATGTGATGAGACAGTCTCCTGTGCAATCATTTTAATCTGAGAGGCGACAACCCTCAAGAAGGAAAAGCTGCTTCTGATTTATTGTTTTGTTTCTGTATATAATGCTCCTTTTTTTCTCTGTATAAAGAACAACCTCCATCTCTCAGCACCTTGTCTGATCTCTTATCAGTTTGACCTTACAAATAAACCACAAACACGGTAGTGTACACGCATTAAAAATAAATAAATGATAGAAGTAACTAGCACAGCATGTCCAGTGACAACTGTCAGTTATTTAATTGAACATTTGCAAAACTATATAACTATATGGATAATCCATCCACCTCAGTGCTCACTAACACAGATTTAGACAGATTTGTGAACAATATTTGAGAGAAATAGGCCTTTTGTGTACATAGAAAAAGTCTTAGATCTTTGAGTTCAGCTCATGAAAAATGGGGTAAAAACAAAAGTGTTGCATTTATAATTTTGTTCAGTGTATATATATATACACATACAACTCAGCTGGGTGCTGATTTATCCTCAGTTGCCATCTGTTTTACTGCTTGCTAAACAGAAGAGCAAGCAGACTGCTGCTTACAGACAACCCTTAATTTTCTTCCAATTAGCACACTGTCATGTCTGAAAGTCACAAGCGTAAGGTACACGCTCACACACCTTAATATAGCCCACACACAAACACACTCTCTACCAGCCATATATATATCCATGTGGCGTCTATTTAAAACCTGATATTCAGCAGGTACACTGACAATTATGTTGATGCATCTGATAATATGACATGAAATGTGATGTACATGTCCATCTTTCTTAGTGTTATCAACAGCAAAACACAGTATCTCATTCTCAACTCATCTACTTTTAAGGTGCTATTCGGAAATTGAACAAAAGATTTATGTTGTACGAATGAAAGCAAGTCACATGGGTTTGGAACAACATGAAGGTGAGTAAATGATGATAATTTAAATTTTGCATGAACTATTCTTTTAACAGAACATGTAGCGACCACGAAAGAGTCCATGGAGAGATTTTCCATGGCTTACTCATGCATTAATTTCAAATTCCTTTACTGACCTAATTAAATGTGGAACATCTGGCAACACTCATCTGCACTTTACTTCTTGAAGTTGTACAGTTGCGTCTACATGAGTTGGTCAGTGAAATGTTAAAGCTCAGCACTGCAGGGACCGTAGGCAGACTGGCCTCATCACATCCTCGTACGAAGCCCTAACTCTGTTGCAGACAATATGATAGTACGATGAAAAGCCAAGACATCAAGCACAAGCTTTTTTTTAAATGAGTAAATAATGAAGCACTGCAGGCGCCTGAGGGATCGGGGTGTTAACGGGCTTACAGCCGGTAATCAGACGCATGCGGCGAGATGTGAGCAGCTAAAGCAAACATAAACATCTCTAGTGCGGGTTGGCTCTGATAATCCAGCCGTATGAAGCGATCATGCCTTTTGATGATAATCTGGCTGAAGAATTTTTCTTTGCACTAAATTAGTTATGGCAGAGTACTCATCCTAAAAAAAATCCTGTTACCACGCTTTGAACCACAGATCAGCAAGAGATTTTAGAATGAAACCACAGTATTCATAGTCCAGCTAGGATTTAAAGACTCTGAAGTTATAATCGTGAGCTGGTGAGTAGTTATGCTGCTTTAACATGATGTGGCACATAAGGGAAAAAAATATATAAAAATGTTATACCGTAAAAACATGCTAATTATTTTACTATAAAATGAACAAAATGAATAATAATAATAAAATTATCATATAATTGATGGTGGAAATCTCTTATAATTATATAAATAATCCTCTATAAGGCAACACATGTACTTTTACAGTAAAAATGTCACCTTACACAATTAAAAACAATAAAAAGATATCCACAGAAGTACCTGCATCAGTGTTGTTATTGTTAACTAAAACTATTAAAAAGATTTTCTGGT